TGTCTCCTTAAATTCAGTATTTGTTCTGCATCCTTTTACCTTCCAACAACAACGTTTCCATCTAAGTTAGTGAAAAAAACAACGCCCACAGCTTTTCCACACATTCAACGCCAACGACGGAGGAGTCTTGTAGACCACACAGAAAAATGACTTTCCAAAGTTGATGGTTTTTCTTCTAGATTTTGTGTTTTTTTTTACGGAATCTTGTTCGGGTGGTTTTGTTTGTTTATTTATTTGTATAGGACACTCAAGTGGGCATTTCTTTACAAACACACGCACAAACACATATGTATATATACATATACTCTTGGTGCGTGTGCTTGTCAACTGCAATTGCTGGAGTATGGCTTCAAGTTGGAAATTTAAGTGACCACAAAATGCACAAAACTATAAAACAGCAGCAGCAACAACAACATAAAATAAGAAAAAAACGGACTACTGCTGCCATAAACTGTCAGTGGCTATAAAACAAACAAAACAGAGGCAACAACAAAATCAAAGGAGAGAAACATTTTAGGACACCATCAAAGGAGTAAAAAGAAAACAGCGACTGGTAAAGCTAAGAGGCCAGCGAAAAAAACTGGATACTGAATAAAAAAATACAAACTGTAAGAAGAACAAATTGAAAGACAAATCCCTTGCTGAAAAATAGGAGTAGCGAGTGGAGAAGTGAAACGAGTCAGTCCAAAATGGAAGCAAACAAAACAAAACGTAACTGCAAAACAAACTGAAATTGTTCAAGTATTTAATTGTTTGTGCAGAATTGTGGAAAATATATTTTTGTTGTGGGAAAAGTAGTTTGGGACTTAGGTGGATTGAAGGTACCCTATATGTGGCTTAAGGAGATAGTGGCAAAGAGAATATTAATTATGGCAGCCGAGTGAAATTTTGAATGAATCCGGTCATATCAGCAGGCCTGAACTAGTCTAACTTTACATAGAGAAAACTATGGATATTAAAATACATGTAAAGGATATTAAAATACCTGTAAATTAAACCAACCAAATCATATTACAGCGGGTATTCTTCCGGATGAAAAACTTTCCCTAGAAAGACTACAGTTCTAACGTAGTCATATTAAGAGAGAAGAATTAAATAAATATTCTTAAGGAAAATAAATGAAATATGACCCTATGTATGGGCTTGTAGCATAATCCCTAAAAATATCCAAAATATTCTGGTTCGAATGGGCATTGTCCCCTTGTCTGTTTGTTTAATTTAAGATAAAAACAAGTTAAATAGTATCAGTCGGTTTTGCCGACAGCCTTCATCTATGATTTTTCACACTGTTGACCATTTATGGGGGAGGTTCCGAAGCAGATGGCCAATATTGTCCAATTCGTATCTGACCTATGTCTGATATAAATATTACAAATATGGCACATATTTGGACTATACCGACAATTTTCCATACTTTATATGAGATATGTGAACATTTTTGGAAAATGTAGAAATATGCGTGAGGTAACAGACATACTGCATCTAATACAGATACAAATATTGATATGTGAAAAATTTTAAGGAAATGCAACAATTTTATACGAAATTATAAATTCTATATTCATATCAGATTTCTTGTTTAGAGAAATTTTTAGATACAGCAAGTTGTATAAAATCGCCGACTTGTTTCGCAAGTTATGACAAATATGCGAATTGGAAACTGTGACCCTTTGTGGGTGACGTACCAGAAGGGATTGGCAGATATCTATCATCTTCACAACAAATTTTATGTTAGCAAAATATTCTGGATGTGTGAAATATGAGGAGTGTTGGATGATTATTTTTGTTTTCCAAAATTTTGAACCCTTTGTGGGGGGATGTACCAGAAGGAGTGCGCCGATATGAACCATTCCCATAACCGATCTTGTGTAAGTAAAAATGATTGGATGTGTGAAAATAGTAGAGAACCGGATGCTTGTCACGGATTTTATGATCGTTTTGGCTATTCAAAATTTTGACCCTTTGTGGGAGAGGTACCAGAAGAAATGATCCGATCTCTACCATCTTTATAACAGATCTTGTGTTGATGGAAATATTGCGATGTATGAAGTCTGAATTGAATCAGAAGTTGGTTTAGTGTTCGTGAGCTTCAGAGATATACATTTTTTATCCCTTTGTGGGTCAGGTACCAGAGGTAATGGTCCGATCTCTACTGCCTTTATCGCTAAGATACTGTGTTAAATAAATTGACACACGATCATGTGTGATAAAAGTATTAAGATGTGAAATCGGATGATAATTTCGCGTTTTATGAGCATCGCGGTTATTCAAAATTTCGACTTTTTGTGAGGGAGGTACTTGATGGAGTTGACCATTATAACCCATTTTTCATCTGATCTAGAACTGACGCAAATATAAGGATTTGTAAGGTTGATGCAAAATCGGATCATCGCTTCTCTTTGTGCGAAGAAAATAAATATTTTTTTGTTTTGAAAATTTCGGTCTTTTGTGGGGGAGGTACTCGAACGAGTGGGCCGATATATTCCATCTAAACACCAGTCCTTGGGTTAATAAATGTATTGGGATGTGTGAAATTTGAAGACAATCGTACCAAGTCTAATGGAATAGGATGTTCATTTCTCGTTTTGTGATCTTAATGGCTTTTCAAAATTTTGATCCTTTGTAAGATAGGTACCGATAGGTACCTTTCTGTGCAATTAAATAAGTTTTTCTTTTTTTTTTTTTTTTTGAAAATTTCGACGTTTTGTGGGCCGATATTGCCCATCTCCGAACTCCATCTAAGTATGATAATAATATTACGATAAAATAAAAAAATTGCAAAAAGTAAAACGCCATATTTTTGCTTTTTTTTTTAATTTTATGAATGAATGAATGAATGAAAGAAAAAAAAAATACGGAAATAGCATCAAATTTTACAATAAGTTTAGATTTGTTCGAATTGGTCACCTTTGGCACGAATTATGGCCTTCAAACGGCCAATGAAACCGTCACACTCTGCTCGAATGTTACTTTTCGGTATTTTGGCCCATTCCCGGCGAAGCGCTTGCTTGAGGTGATCGACAACTTGGTATTTTTTAGTGTCAACCTTGCTTTCCAAAATACTCCAGACACAATAGTCCAACGGATTGGTATCCAGGGATTTGGTGGCAATTGTGCGCTGGAAATGAAGCGATGAACCTCATTTTGTAACTATTCTTGGGTGGCTCGTGCTGAGTGCGATAGTGCTAAGTACACTCTCCAGAATATTTTCGCGATAATATTCGGCATTTATTCTAATGCCACGGTCGATTAATACGAGCGGAGAGCGACCACCGGCTGTTATGGCGGCCCACACCATCACCGTGGTCGGCGCTTAAGTTCTGGTGGCCAACAGAAGGTGCACATTGTCAGCTGACCTCTTTAGCAAGTAAACACGATCATTTTGTTTGTTTACAAACTGCTGGATAACGAATGTTTTCTCATAGGATAAAACAAAATTCGGCAGTTCAACTGTTTCGGCCAAGCGGAGGAACTCTTTAGCTTTTTTGGAGTCTATTTCCTTTCTGTTGCGGTGTAAGTTCATTCACTTTTTGGAATTTCAGTGGCTTTACCCAGAGCTCATTTTTCAATTTTGCCGAATGGAATATTGCGATATGTTTAGCTCAGGACCCATTTTTCGGCCACTGCGACGCGGGTTTCGATCAAGTCGCTTCTTTACTTTTCGAATTATTTCTGCTGATGTTCCTCTTTTCTTCCGTCTACTTCCTTGACCTCGGGCTACGCTACCAGTATCACCGTAACGAGCAATGGTACGAGGCACAAAAGATTTATTCACATTTAAATGCTGGAGTGCTATAACGATAGCCTCTTGTGGTTGACTCCATTACGAATAACTTTTTTTTTGGAAAATTCTCACCAAAATGCTTTTGTACGCTTGAGCTGTCAGTGGAATAATTTTAACAGTTGTCGGACGAGTGGCTGAGAATTGACATCAGTCTGAAGTTGGTTACAGGTTTTTCATTTTACCCCGTATTATCTCTATGTTTTAGGTCGTTTTAATTATTTATTGTTTTTTTAATGTTAATAATTCTATTCAGTTGAGAAAAAATCGGTGAATAACATAGCTAAAATCATTAAAACGTGGACCTGCACAGACAGTTTCCTGTCATAGGCTGTAGAATCCATTACGAACTTCAAATACCAAATTTGAAACAGTTCCGCTGAATAATGTCGCTAAAATCATAATCATCATAATAAATATCGGGAGGTATCATTCTTTGGGGGCTATACCAAAACGTGGACCTTCATGGCCAATTTTCAATATCAAAACTCCTGTAGACATAATATACATTTGAGTATAATATATATGTACTTTGTGGGGTCTAAAATATATATTTCGAGGTGTTACGAAGGAAATTACAAACTTAATATACCTTCCATACGATGGTTGTGGGTATAAAGCTAAAATTTGGATAAAATAAGAAAAAAATAAAAAGGATATTAAAAACGTTGATTATTTTCAATATTTACTCTTTGGTGGTGATTTTATGAATGTTTTAGAAAATGTTTAATTTTTATATTAATTTCCTATATTGAGGAATATATCACTGACTACCAGTAGGACTGGAAGAAATGTTGTTGTCAAATTATATAATATATAAATATATAAGATAAACATTATTCCTTTTTCTAGATTTCTTATCTTCATACAAAATGTAAAATTTTGTGCATTAAAATAATAAAAATCTTAAATAAAATTGTAGCAATCCTTACCTCAGGTCCTTGCCCAAGCAATGAATATACTTCCAAATAAGTAGCTTTATATTTCATCTTACGGAGCAAGATTTTTCCTCCTTACTCGAAATGGAATTCCTCTTATTTTCTTTCAATAAAACAAAACCCAAGATTTCCACTTCACATACCGTAGGGTAAATGCAACATCTTAAACTATTTCCTATCATAAAACTTTCCACAGCAAACCATAAAAAATTTTAACAATCATAACGTAAACAACAACAACAACAAAAACTAATTTTTTATACTTTTCTTTTTCATTAAAGCATTTCAAAGTAGCGGAAAAAAGTGAAACACATAAAGTAGTGAAGTCGAAAAAAATTGGAACGAAGAAAAAACTAAAGCACAAAAAAAAAAGCATTAAAACAAGCATAACGAACGAAAAATTGCACAGAAAAGTTTTGTGAACGCGGTTGAAAGTTATTAATAACAGAAACAGAAACTTACAAGTTTCCGTGGAACAAAACAAAAACAACAACAACAGCAAAAACCTTTAGCTAAAAATTGCAAACTACAAAACAAGAAATAGGAGAAAGCAAGGAAAAAAAAAGGAAAATAAAAATGGCAAACTCCAAGGAACGAAACAGCTCCAACTGCAGCAATACAACAGTAGCAACAACAACAAATACTACTCTGGCTATTAGCAACAAAAGCAGTGGCAAAAACTTTAGAGAAAGTAGAATCTCCTTCAATGGCAAACCACAAAGAGCCAATAGCAGTCTCAGACCCTGTCCGCCCCAAAAACATGCGATAAGGAATGGCTGCAGTCAAAATGGCCCAGCGCTGCCTATGCCTAGAAAGGGCAGTGGCAGTGATATTATTAGTTTTATAACAAACAGTATTACAACAATGGCAACAGCAACAGCTACAACAACTGCATCCAGCACAACAATTCCAAATAGTTCCGCACTTGGGACTATCGAGTCTAGAATGCCATCGTCGTCATCATCATCATCGTCATCATCACCATCATTTGTGGATGACTTTCGTGTCAACAGTGCAACTTCAAGTAGCGCCAAAGTTCCGACCACCAACACCAGCAACACCCAGACTATCAAAGCTACCACTGATTCATTATTGGCTGCAACAGCTACGGCTACTAATTCTGATACTGCCAATAACACTGCAACTGAAACTCTAACTGCCTCAGCTACTTCGCGTATGACTTTTTCAACTTCGGCTGCTTCGTCATCATCAGTGCCCTCATCATCATCGCCATCATTATTATCAACATTGCCAGCATCGAGAATCGCAATAAGAAGAAGAAGACGAGCAACAATATCATCATCATCGGCAGCGATTTGTGGCGGCACCAAGCACAACTTTCTGCCCACCATTTCGCTCAAATCGTATTTTTTCTTGTGGCATTTCTTTTGTATATTGGGTAAGTTTTCTTCTTCATAGTTTTCTTTTTCCATTTTCCTTTCTGCGATTGCAATTGCTAGTATTTTATTATTTGAGTATTGTTGTAAATTATATTTGACTTCGCGTTATTAAATTCTTGATTGTTGGTTTATGGGCAATGCATAAATTTTCGAAATACTTTCGAGAGATTGACAATAGAGAAGCTGGGTTAAGTTTGGAGGTCAAACTTGAAATGGGAATTATTAAAGTAATGAGACGGAAGTATGAAAAAAAAGTCGGATTACTTAGTAACGGGGCCTTCTAAAATATAAAATCAGCCAAACATGCTATATGGGCCATAATGATATTGAACAATATTATAATTTTGTAACTGGGTAATATATACCCAAGCCTTGACTTATGATTATCCTAACTGTTGACCCTTTATGGGGCAGGTTCCGAAACAGTTGGAGGCAGAATTGGTTGCTTATCTCGCCTTCTTTGAGCGTTTCGTTTTTCGAAAATGTTACAACCTATATGGGTGCGGTACCAGAAGAAATGGTCCGATCTGTACCATCTTTACAACAGATCATGTTGATGAAAATTTTGAGATGTATCAAGTCTAAATGGAATCGGATGTTAATTTCGCGTTGTATGAGCTTCACAGTTACTCAAAATTTTAACCCCTTGTGGAGGAAATACCAGAAGAAGTGGACCGATATATTCCAACTTCGTTCCAGACCTTGGATTAATAAAAATATTGTGATGTGTGTAATTTGAAGAGAACGGGATGCTTTTCGGATTTTATTATCGTTTTTAGAGCCTCCAACATACTATGGAGGGTATATTAACTTTGTCATTCCGTTTGTCACTCCTCGAAATTCTCATGTAAGACCCAACAAAGTATATATATTCTTGATCAGCGTAAAAATCTATGTCGATTTAACGATTTCCGACAGTTTTCAAACGAATCATAGATAGAAGTCTAAAATTTGACACACATGCTTATGTTGTTAGTAGACAGGTTATGTTCGTAAATGGGTCCACGTTTTCATATAGCCACCATATAACGGTACCTCCCGATATTCGATATTATGATGATTTTAGCGACATTATTCACCGGAATTGTTTCAAATTTGGCATTTAAATTTCGAAATGGATACTACAGCCCACGTCTTCGTATAGCCACCATATAACGGTACCTCCCTATATTCGGTATTTTGATGAGTTTAGCGACATTATTCACCGGAATTGTTTTAAATTTTGTGTTTGAAGTTCGTAATGAATACTACAGTCTAAGGCAGAAAATTTTCTATGCAGGTCCACGTCTTCGTATAGCCCACATAAAACGAAACCTCCAAATATTCGGTAGTTTGATGATTTTAGCGTCATTATTCACCGTAGTAGTTTCAAATAACGCATTTAGAGTTCGTAATGGGAACTACAGTCTGTGACAGAAAATTGTCTATGCAGGCATAGATCTTCGTATAGGCCCCATATATCATGTATCAACTCCCTATATTCGGTATTTTGACGATTTCAAGTACAATACTCACCGAAATTGTTTGAGATGTCGTACTTGAAGTTAGTAATAGAAGCTACAGCCTGTGACAAAAAATTGTCTTTACAGGTCCAGGTTTGCGTATAGCACCGATATAAAGGTACCACCTTAAATACGGAATTTGATTATTTTAGCTACATTGTTCACCGTTTATTTCAAGTTTCGAATTTGAATATGGTAATGGCTAATGACAAACAATGCCTATGTAAGACCACGTCGTACAGGCCCTAATATAACGGCTATATTCTGTATTTTTAAGATGTTATTAGAATTTTGGGCGAATATTAACTTTATCGAAAAATTCCAAATTCGTTCTAAATGGTGGATGGTATTTAAAGTTCGTCCCGGCCGAACTTACTGCTTTTTTACTTGTTGTTATTCGAAACTCTGACACTTTGTGGGGGAGGTACCAGAAGGAATGATTCGATCTCTACCATCTTTATAAACTTGTTTTTATGGAAATATTGAGATGTGTCAAATCTGAATGAAATCGGATATTAATATAGTGCTTTATGAGCTTTATAAGTTTTCAAAAAATTTTGGCTTTTTTTGGGGGGGTTGGTGTGTGTACCAGGAGGAGTGGACCGATATATTCCATCTTCACACCAGTCCTTGGGTTAAGGAAAATATTATAATTTTTATAATTTAAAGACAATCACCCATTTACATCACATTTTATAAGAGTTATAATTATTCAAAATTTTGACCCTTTGTGTGGGAGGTACTTTATGGAGTGGACCGATATTGTCCATTTTCGCAACTGCTCTGAGCACTGATGGAAATATTAGGATTTGCCAAGGTGGAGCAAAATCGGAATATACTTTCCTTTTTGTGTGCAGTAAATTCGTTTCTTTGAGAATGTTGACATTTTGTTTGGATGCGATCCAATATTGACCATTTCCGATCTCGATCTAAGTTGGACAATAATATTACGATGTACCAGATTTGGACCAAATCGGATAGTCCTTTCGAGAGTTATCGTGCGCACCAGCTAGACAGACAGACGGACGGACGGACTAAATCGACTTGAAATGTGCTGAAACGGATTTGGTCCAAAGAGAACTAGGGTCTGAAACCGTTATTTCAATGAGGCACGTTTTGGGACTATCAAGGGATGTATACCATCTCTAGCCATATGGCTGAGAGTATAAAAAGAATTTATTTTCCTCATTACCTAGTAGTGCGAGATGTCGGCCCAGTATGTAATTAACCGGCTGTAAAACCTAGTTCGAGAAACGAAGAAAAAAATTAAGAAGCAAGCAAAGGCTATAGGCGTGCGGGGCCGACAATGGGATACCCCTTAACACTATAATATATTGGAAACTTCTTTAGGTCCAAACCCACAAATGTAACCTTTGGTTTTGACTGGTGGCATTTGCCCTGCATTCATAAAAATGTCACACAGAAGTTGTGGTCTATTTTATCTCCTAAATATTATCCGATGTAATTTTCACAAAAAAAAGTTAAAAATTCTGTTGAAATCTTAAAAATACCGAATGTCGCTATTACATTTGGGTCTATTCAACGGCGTGAACCTGCAAAGCCAAATTTTGTCATAAGCCATTACAATATTCAAATGCGAAACTTGAATAAAAAATATCGGTGAATAATGTAGCTAAGATCATCAAGAAAACCGAATGTAGGGAGGAACCGTTATATTGGGGCTATACGATAACGTGGACTTACACAGACAATTTTCTGTCTTAGGCTGTAGTATCCATCACGAACTTCAAAATACCAAAATTGAAACAATTCCGGTGGTTAATGTCGCCAAAATCATCAAAATAGCGAATATCTGGAGGTGCCGTTATATGGGGGTTATGCGAAGACGTAGACCTGCACAGACATTTTTCTATCTTAGACTGTAGTATCCATTACGAACCTTAAATGCCAAATTTAAAACAATTCTGGTGAATAATGTAGCTAAAATCATCAAAATACCGAATATAGGGAGCTACCATTGTATGGGGCTATACCGAAACGTGGACATGCGCATAAAACTTTCTGTCACAGGCTGTATCCATTACGAACTTCAAGTGTCAAATTTGATAAATTTCTGGTGAATAATGTAGCCCAAATCATTAAAATACCGAATATCGGGAGGTTCTGTTATATGGGGGCTATACGAAGACGAGCAACTGAACAAACAAATGTCTTTCTAAGGCTGTTATATCTATTACGAACTTCCAAAAACAAATTTGAAACAATTACGGTGAATAATGACGTTAAAATCACCAAAATACCGAAAATAGGGAGGTACCATTATATGGGAGCTATGCCAATTCGTGGACCTACATGGCCTATTTTTACTACCAAAAGTCCTGCAGACTTAGTATTCATTTGAGTAAAATCGTATCAACCTACTTTATTTCGAGCAGAAGCTAGAGTAATTTCCATAGACGGACAGACGGATAGGCGGACGGATATTGCTAAATCGACATAGAATTTTATGCTGATTAAGAATATATATATATACTTTGTGGGTTCTAAAATGTATATTTCGACGGGTTTTTAACGGAATGACAAACGTAATATACCCTACAAACTATGGTGGAGGGTATAAAAAGAGAACTGCATTCAATTTTTGGGGCGTATCATCAATGGCGATTAGCAAGATGTAACTTATACGCCCCATATCTCTGCAGATGGATAATTAAAAGCAATGCAGAATATTACGTAATCTATTTTTTAATAAACTCTAATAAAATCTCAACAGGTCAATGTTTGTTATGCTACAATTATTATTCATAGAAAGGTCCTTTAAATTACTTTTCAAGTTTTCTTCGGCTAAAATGTTTTGAATAAAATTTGACTATTTTGTCACTTTATTAATTTCTATAAACAAAACTAAATCTAATTATGGAAAGAAGAAGGAAAACTTAATAAAAACAAAATATTAACAAAATGAGAAATGAGCGACAAAGCTCAAAATAAAAAATAATTAAATATTTTCCGCTACCAACAAAGCAAATGAATGGACATTTAACATTTTCAATGTTGTTGTCTTTTTTCGTTTCATCAGTTTTATTTTCCACTTTTTCTTGCTATTTTGCAAGAGCTAGAGAAACAAACAATATAAATAAAAATCTTGCGAAAAAAAGTAAAATAGGTTTAGTTACCTCGGGGTAAACTTAGGGTGCCCTACACCAAGTCCGTAGCACAAAGTGGATTCTTAGATATATTTTGAGAAGAAACCTGGGTCTTGTAAAATATTTTATTGATAATTTTTTTTAATTTTTAAGAGTATGATTGCAATCATCAATAATGCCCCTAAGAATATTTATATTGGATTTATAATTTTTTAAGGGACCAATAAAATAGATGTTTCTAAGGACATTTTTTAAGACCTGTTGTTTTATTGATACTTAGAAAATTCTAAGAAAATCTAACATGTTCAATTTATTCTTGGAAGATATTCCTAAAAAAATCCAAGTTCCTCTACAGAGGATTTTCTAACTAAATGGATAAACGTGGATTCT